ATACATTTATTTATTATTATTTGATAAGTATATTATATAAAATCACAGAAGTCATTTCAATACATGCATAAATTACATTTCCTAAAAATAAATAATTATAATTAACGATAAAGAAAATTTAAATTATTCTACAATAATTTATAACAAAATTTAATGGGATATTTGTTGTGATAAATCTTCAGCAATGTTTTCAAAATTTTGTTCCCACATTGTTCAATACAGATTATAATTGTGTACTGACCTTGAAAGTAATGGCTGCGAATTTATAATGTGCAGAACAATACACGAATCTTTCAATTTTTGTAACAAATGTAACGTCTAAATTTGCTAAATATCAAGTAATGCATGCATGCAATGACACGCATTGCATGGTGGGGTATGATCCATGCCTCATTATTCCTAATACCAGTAGTCCAGTAAAAATACAAAAAGCCCCAATCTCATTGAGCAATAATTATAGAATAGAAAAAAAAATTTTTTCTATTCTAAAATTAATGCTCAGTTAAACTGTAATTTTACTAGATTACAGGTTCACTCAGCATTAATGGCACAAATAGACAGGCAAATCAAGTGGATAAACAAGTTGTTTGGACTGTTAAAAGGGAAACTGATGTTCATACTGGGATATTTTAAAGCATTTTTGTCGTTTCTTGTTTCTTGTGTTAATAATTTACAGCAAATTGCTGAACATACACCATTTTATAATGAAAGTTAGATGTACCCTTTCGATTTACGCTTGTACCCCTAGGGGGTACATATACTGTATAGTACCTCCAGTTGAGAACCACTGCTTTTGACAGATTGTTTTTGTTTAATGACCTGAATGAGAAATACATTAAAAAAAAAGCATAGTATATTTAAAATGCAAGAAAATTTAAGTTTTGCTTTTGAATTGTCTGAATTTCTATGCATTTGGAGCTAGAACTATTTAAAATGACTAAGACAAAACATTTCTCACTTTGTTTCTAGCTGTTTACACACTGAGTACAAATGTTCTCGGTCTTCTTAATAAGCCTTCTTCAGGTACACTGTGGTCTGTTAGAACGTCAGTTGATAGATATTCAAACAGTGTCACTGTTTACAATATCTACTAACCAATGTTCTAACAGACCACAGTGTACCTGAAGAAGGCCGAGAACATTTGTTTTGCCTTAGTCAATTGTCTGAATTATTATTTTTTTAACTTTTTGATTCACGGTTGATTAAAACTGCAAATGCAGAACCAGTGGATATGGAAAACTGATGTATAGATTCAAAAGATCAAAAATTATTTTACAATGAAGATAATTGAATTATTCAATTTATAAAGTAGCATTTAGGAATTATTCTGAACAGAAATGCAATGCAAATTTTTATTATGAACGTAACAAATGAGTAAAATTTTTTGATACTAAACACTTAAGATAATGGTAATCATAAACTTGTATTATTTAAGCAAAATAAAATGATTCAGAAACTGTAAATTATTAAACTTATTACTGCAATTTCTCATTTCCCAGTTTTTTGCTTGTCTAGAGATTTCAAGAAAAAGATGACAGTGTCCTGGGATCTGGGAAATATAATTAATTATATTTGGAATATATTATATAAATTATCCTGAAAAAAATGATATAATTATTTTTCATTTAATTAATTAATTAAAAGAAATTTAATACATTCTGCAACCTCCATGATAGGCAAAAAATAATATTGTTGTGTAAAATACTATATGTATTAAAAAATTTCCTTTGAATTACATAGAAATTTTCACAAATAAAAAAATTGCTTGAAGTTCATTGAAAACTAATTACAACAACAACAACAAAACCCTCTTTGAATTACGTAGAAAATTTAAAGAAAAAAGAAAATTACCTTCAAATTCAAAGAGTAATGTAACAAAAAATTATCAATGTAAATTTTTACAATAAGATTTTAAAAAACAAAGATGGTCAGTACTCCAATCATTCATCCTTGTTCTTATTTTACTAACAAAAACATCCTATTGCTGAGAATGCCTTTTCTGATCCTATTAATATGATAGTCATCTTTAATGCATTCAAGAGTAGAAAGATGTTCTGGGTTTTTTCACCCATAGCCTCAAAGATTTCTAGTTTATTTTCAAGATGCCTTGCAGTATGTCTTTTGCTGTCTAATGTCTTGATTTTTCTATCTCAGCTGCTTCAATAGAAGCATCCAAGTTTTTCAGCTAGAGTCATTGAAAATGAATAAGTGACATCTATGAGTTAATTATATTTTCTATTACCAAAATTTCCCCAACTTAACACAAAATAAGGAAAAACTAAATTTTTAAGGAATTTGCAGGATTTCCTGGGAAATTTAAATGATTAAAAAAATAACAGGATCCTGAACCCTACTTATTACAAAATATCCAAATATCTCAAGTTATGATTTGTAAAGTGATTCCGTTTATATTATAAATCTTGAGTCAACTTTACAATATATTAATTTTCAATAGTTTAGAATATGCCAATTGAACTGTATATAATATATATACAGTATATATATATATTTGTACTAACATATTTAATATAATAATTAAATTTTTGTAAAAGAAAAACTTTTAATGAAACTTTTCATTGTGTTCATACAAATTGTAAGTATATATATATATATATAAATTCTGTAAGTTTGCCAAAATAATTTCATTATTGAAGAAAATGCTTTTTAATGAAAACACATTTTCAAAAAACATATCTGACTATTTAAGCTACAAAATACTTAAATTTTTCTTTGATTTTTGCTGATTATAAGATAATTATATGAAAAGTTTCAGAAATTATAGAGAAACCCTAAAAATTTATCAGCAGCATATATCAGCACAAATGCATTTATCTTGCATTAATCCCCATTATGGATACAAAATTAAATAATTACATTTAAAAATAATTTAATTTCAAAACAAATTATTACAAAATATATAAAACAGTTTTTAAAATTTTTGTTTATAGAATCAATAAAATATTTTTAATATTTGTAAAAGTCAATTAACATATAATGTGCATATAGAGTAAATATATATGTATTTACATTTACATATATATTTTTATGAAAAATATTTGTCAACTACTTATAAAATTACATAACCAAGCTTTGTCAAATTTCTTTCAGAGCTATTTATAAGTAATTAATTTATTTTGAATCTTCGTCTAGAAATAAACAGAAATGCCATCTCACAAGAATATAAATGAATTAATTTATATACTGCATTTAGCTCGGAAGAAATCTGACAATGTTCATTTAATTCATTTTGTGTCAACTAAGTTTTAAACAACAATTCTTAATATTATCAATTTGTAAACTTGCATTTTAAATATATTAAAATACATCATATTATATTTCTGCATAAAATAAATACACAAATTAAATTTCTGGGTCAATTATACATAAATGATAAAAAAAGAAAGTCATTTGTCATCGAAATTCATTGGAATTTTTAATTAATACACAAATTTAATGCTATCTAATCTCTTATTTCTCTTATCAATCAGTTCAAATTTTATTCACCTACATAAAACACATAAAACAATTAATCTCATTCAAGTTACCGAATGTCACATAAACCGCAATGTATCATAGGATCATTGAACATTGAACATTACATGTACATTAACACATGTAACGTTCAATGTTTAGCTGTAATTAAAACTCCATTAATTCCAATGGTTAAAGTATAACATCCTGATCTAAACAAATTCATGTTTTTATATATTCAACCTCTCATATTTTATACATAAACAGATACAGATTACATCTTATAATTTTTTAATCGATTTTTATTCATATAAACTGTGATTTATGTTTTTTATTGTTCCATTTTTTTTATTTATTTATTTTTTCCCTAAATAACCAAATCAGATCTATTAAGGAAAGGGAAGTTAATTAGGGTTAGGATGTTTGGATTTCTCTCACGAGTAAATATTGTATTTTAAAGAAGATTTCTTCTTTACTTACCCAAAAATAATCACGAAAATCAACTGGCATATCCGCACATTAGACACAAAACAAAACAACTCGATAAATGGGTGGACAGATAGAGTTAAACGTCGTTACTCGCCCCTGTCGACTTTTTTAATCTCCACCGCAGATCTATCGTCTGTTTTGTTAGCTATTAAAACTACAATTTTCGAATTTTTTCATTTTTATTATTTACTTATTTTCTTGATAAAGAAATATAAAATTATAATAATTTTATTTTATTTTAAATTTATTATTTTAAATTCTTGTAGTTTAATAACAATTTAATTCATGTAATCATCTAAAATTACAATAAATTATGGCTAAGGTTTCTCGAATTTTTAATTAAATAATATTTTTATATAATTTTTTCGGAGTTCTTAATCTATAAAATTTGTATTTTGTTTGTTATAAATTTACTGAAAACATTTTAAATTCGAGCAAAATATTTATGTCTACTACTTGTGAAGATCAGAAAGAAAAAATTTACTACTGCCATCTATTGAATAAAGTTACAATTTTATTTGTATTCTTAAATACATAATTAATTAATTTTTTTTCTTAATGAATTTAAAATGCTAAAAATTACATCTCTGAACAAAATCTCTTTATTTTCAAAGAGCGAACGTAAATGTGGCAACAAGTTTGTAGTAGCGAAACTAAAAAAAAAAGTCGTGGCATACATTGATAAATAAAGCAAAAATCTATGATAAAGTCTCATTTCGTTTTTATTTGCAAGTTTATAACATTCTATTCACTTTTATACATATTTAGTTTATATTCGCTATTCAAAAATTATCCAAATTATAGTGTAACTATATTTTGCGACAGTAATATGTTTTGAATATATACGGTATGTACTGTATTTCGCTGCCGTTTTTTTCAGAAATAAATCCAAAAATATCTATTGCATTTTGATTTATAAATATCAAGCAATGCAATAAATGAGATCTCATCTATATTTGTCATTCATACAATCAATATTAATGAAATATACTAGGAAACGTCAAACGCGTGAGTCCATAATTTTAATAAAACAAAAATTTTTATGGGATTTTTATTTTACTATAAAAGAACTAAAATAGAGAATAATAAATATTAATCATAGTTGTTTATAAAGCATATCAATGAACATAACATCTTTCACAAAAATATATTAATTTTGATCTTGATATGATGTTCAAAACACGATCTAACAGATTAAAGATAGATAAATAAAAAGTTGTAAGAGGACGTCCATTAATTTAAGTGTACAGTTTTTGAGCCACTTTTGATCCTTTTCCTCCCTATTGTATATAATACTGTAATGTACTTTTGCCAAATTTTTGACCTAATTACTTACACAACAGTTCATGAAGCATCCGACGTTGAAGAAATGACTAAAAGTTCTTCAAATATTTTTTGATAGCTTATTCACATGACTAGTAAGTCGCAAACTGCTGATCCGCGTTAAGGCTTCATATCCGACCCTCGGCCTTGATTTCTTTTCTAAAAATCAATGTTTCTAACATCTTGCGGGGATTAATTTAACATCGAAATTAATCTGATTAATTCAGTGGCCCTCATCTTTGGCCCGGCCGTCTGGCAGGAGCCACAAAAATTACCAAAAAATTATACATAGTGACGGTGTGTGTTAGAAATAAAAGAACTTGTTATTATTTTAGGATTTTATTATCTTTTTAACATTAAAAGTACTTTTACATAAAAGTAACTTGTAACAATTGCACCTAGGGCCTCATAATCCTCTTTTGAATTAACTTAATTAAACAAAAAGATAGATTCAAAGCTGAACCCATCAAAAGTAATTTCTATTTAACTGTGGGCGCCGAACTTTATTACGTCGATAATTTTCGATTGTCGTTTTGAAATAATTCGTTCATTCTGGATGTTAGTTTTCACTGTTGTACCTCAGTGAATTCGAATGTGGAAGGAATTTCAGGTGGCCCAGGCAGTGGGGACGTGACTCAATCGGTAGAGCGCTCGCTTCGCATGCGAGAGGTACCGAGGTCGATGCTCGGCATCTCCGTCCGTCCGCCGCTGTTATTTTAACAAACGTCAGCAATGAAAAATATTTTTGGCACCACAAAAAATAATTGGTCTTTCCGTTTCAAACTTCTGAAAGACGCTAACGACGAGTACCGCGCTGGTATCTGTGCATCGGGTTTACACTTCATTACAGTCGGAGTGCGATAGCCGTGTACGTACTTATTATTTGCAAATTGACTCCTGCCAATTTTATAAACATCCGACCTATCGCTGTAAGCTGTAGCGAAAGTGTTCGGGAAAAACGGTTGGTGAAGCATTTCTCATTGATGCTTGCGGCCGATGGCAAAGAGCGCGTATCCTACTTTTAGCAACAGTGACGTTCTTCGTTCGCAACTGCCTAACAAACGCTTAATAGAGTGAGCTACGAGTATTTACAGATAGTATTTCAGCCACTTAGTCGATGGGGACGTAGCTCATATGGTAGAGCGCTCGCTTAGCACACGATAATTACCGAGATCGATACTCGGCGTCTCCACATTCGTTTTGTTTAAGTATTTAAAATGTGATTTCTCTTTTAAAATTCGTTCTAATTACATCCGGTTTGTATAAACGATCGAATTCTCGAAATACTTTTTCAGATTTTTGCTAAAGTTATTAAATAATTTTGTCAGAGCGAATTCTTGTTTAAATTTCAATCATACAACTGGCTGGAAAAATTCCGTTTTACAACTTCATAACTTTTCGGTTCGCCAAAATTCTTATTGTTTCGGAAGCAGGCTGCAAGTACACCGTCAGTATAAAGTCGGTAGCAGCGATGCACTTGAGTACTACATCTCCAGGTATGACGAAGCGTAGAGAAAAAAAAAATTACCATTAAAAGGAGACGCGGAGTATCGATCTCAGTACTTCTCGCATGCAAAGCGAGCGCTCTACCATCTGAGCTGCGTCCCCAACGTTCGGATCACCTTTACGGCTCGTTTTCATTCTTTCGTTATTCATTCGTAAGTAACGTTTTCACAGTTTCAATCGATTACCCACCCTTGGTTTTTCAAGATCCACAATGTGGGTCGCTGGACTGTATGGGACGGGACTTGACACCAGGTACANTGTGATTTCTCTTTTAAAATTCATTCTAATTACATCCGGTTTGTATAAACGATCGAATTCTCGAAATACTTTTTCAGATTTTTGCTAAAGTTATTAAATAATTTTGTCAGAGCGAATTCTTGTTTAAATTTCAATCATACAACTGGCTGGAAAAATTCCGTTTTACAACTTCATAACCAAAATTCTTATTGTTTCGGAAGCAGGCTGCAAGTACACCGTCAGTATAAAGTCGGTAGCAGCGATGCACTTGCGTACTACATCTCCAGGTATGACGAAGCGTAGAGAAAAAAAAATTACCATTAAAAGGAGACGCGGAATATCGATCTCAGTACTTCTCGCATGCAAAGCGAGCGCTCTACCATCTGAGCTGCGTCCCCAACGTTCGGATCACCTTTACGGCTCGTTTTCATTCTTTCGTTATTCATTCGTAAGTAACGTTTTCACAGTTTCAATCGATTACCCACCCTCGGTTTTTCAAGATCCACAATGTGGGTCGCTGGACTGTATGGGACGGGACTTGACACCAGGTACAGATCGCCCTGAGTTCTTCGACAGCCCGAAATCGATCTCAGAGCGGTAGACGGAAGTTTTAACCGCTCAAACATCCGACCGTCACCTTCTTATACTAGGTGTTGAAAGTATAACACTTAGTTATAAAGAGTTTGTTATTGTACACTAGACACTTGCACATAAATTGTTTTTAGTTGGTCTGGAATGTACCGTATCTCCGACTTAATATATTATTTCGGTGAGAAATTGCTATTCGATGTACACCATTTTGTTCACGACGCGTTTTAGGAACTTAAGTATGACATATATGGAGGACGTTCTGTATTTAATAACGACAGATGAAATTTGATCGAATAATGTAGGGTCTTTTATCAGGAATCATGGTAGTGACTCGCAGGCAAGTAAAAACGTTACTGACTGACTACACATGCAGGAATCTGAGTTGCCGAATTTCGGGGGTCGATTTTTCCGCCCCCAAACACCTATAGTTATTTCGAATATCTCGTCTCGTTCGAAGGAAAATTAATTTCTTAGGTAATGTGCAAAATTTCAATATTACAGTATGTATAAAGCGGTTACCGAAATATAAGCAATTAAATAGAGCAAAACTCTATTTTCTTCTCACTTTTCTTCATCCGGAATTTCAGACGCTCGTAGAGAAAAAAACTACTGGATCTAGAAAGCTCAAATTTTAAACTTAAGCCTTTCTCATTATTGGCGACGTACTGGCCAAACTTCCGGGTCGATAGGTCAGAGTTCACCCCATTGAGCTGATTCAGTTTTACGGTTTTATTTTATGCTTATAAGAAGAAAATTGCTTAGAAACAAATGAATTTTATTCAAAATGTTACTCAAAATTACAATCTCTCAAATTTATGCCAATTAAAACTTTTTATAACAATTTTACTAAACGGCGTTCGGTAACATGATGATAATTTAAAATATATTTTGATATAAACATGGATGACGTTATCGTTTCGTTACGTTATTGTTTATAACATCAAAGTTGACGGCAATTTCCTCTGCGGTGACTTTGCTAAACTGTATAATGAAAGGCCTACGGTAACATATAGGTGGACTATATATATTCATCCCGAACAGTTTGTAGGTATCTATCGTTTCCAAATGTTTCAGCCAAGGCAGTTCTATCACACGGTGTGGTAGTCACCTACGAAAAAGCCCTCCGTTCCATCTATAAGGAGATAGCCAGTAGTAAGCACAAAATTCTAAGGAGAGGGGAAATTGTAGGGTTTTACAAAAACCCTACAATTTCCTCATTCTTTAGGAATGAAAAAGACGCCATCGGGAAAAAATAGTGCTTCGGCCGAAACAACTTGAAAGGTTAGAAATGTACTAGTACAAAGCCTTCGGGAAAAGGACGGTAGTTAACTTCGAGGAGACAGACTCTATTTCGTCAGGCTGGAGTGCGTATAAAAAGTTATAAGAAAAAGTTTCTTCTTCCAATAGTGAGACTAATAAAATCTATCACGTCTTTCTTAATTATGCACAACTAGCAGAGACCGAGATTAAAACAATTTTCTTTATTTCGCCTATTTAAGAATGCATTTCGGATTGGTAATTTTCTAATCCCTATTTGGGCTCACGGCTTTAGTGTCTCCAACATAACGAACAAAAGGTTAGTTCGTCCTAATATACTTTTGTTATTCACAATGATGTATATAGTACACAATTTGTACACATCCTAGATGGTGTAATTTCTACATATCAGTCTCTTACCGGCAATTACTGGCATGCTTTCTTTGTCTATTTTTGATGGGCAAATGCAACGCTTCTTCTATTTTCCACGGTTATTAACTCCTTATTACCTCTTAGAAGGATTTTAACTTCAATATTGTGTGGTTCGTAACACGACAAAGGTCAAAATGTGCTTTTTCATTGTAAATATTTTCACAAGTTGAAAACAAAGTTTTCACAAACAAACTATAAGTACGAGCAATTATTTATTGTGACATGGTCACGATGCCAGGCTGCAATTTTTTTTTATCATATTTTTAAATCATTTAAAATATATGCTCTCCACCTCAAATTAGTAGTGGCTTGCCCCCATACATCATAAACAATAGAGTCGTGCCGGTCATATGCTTTGGGGGGAGTTTTGAATTGAAAAAACGTGACTTCCAGTTTGCGTGGGAAGTTCATATATACTGTATAAAATACCGCTCCAATATAGGATGCGGCTCTCATATTTTTCTGATACACAGTATATGCGACAAGGTTTGGCCATAATTGGTATATACTGCAAAAAGGTTTTCACGAGGACTTTTATATATTATGATTTCTTAATACTTAAACTCATAAATTATCCAAAAATTTTCATTCTTGAACATTCATTACTTTAATTAATGATCTAAGTTAAAATGGAATATTTACGATTCGGTGCTCTGCGAAATGTACCGTACCATAAATCGGATACGTTAGAAAACACCTCAGATTAAATAAAATTCAAGTAATGATTACGCCTGCAGATATTAATATTATAATTTTAAAATTATTTACATAACCGAATATATGTAAATATTTAAACATTTTTAATATATTTTCATTTAGGGGGAATTTATAACCATATCCGGTCTACTGATAAATCTCGAACACGTGGGTAATATAATTTATCGATACGCTTATCAATTTATATTAGCAAATATTTAATATTTCTAAAATACATAAATAATTTTCTGTAAAATATTTGAAAGATTTTTAAAAGTAAAACACTTATCAAACTCTAATTTAGTGCATTTTATGTAATTGGTGGCGAGCGTGAGTTGAACGGTAACATGGGATTGGGACATCTGCAGAATTTAGCAGCTACAATCTTTCAACCATCGGTTAATCCAGTTGCCAAAGCTACACATACACTTCTCAAGGAATTTCATCTTAAAGGCATTAAGAGAGTTGAAGTCAAATTCGATCCATTTCATCCTAACGTTAAGTCTATACGGTACGTATATATTATATTAAGACGTGAAATTGATGAAAATTCTTTTTAACGTGATAACCTTTCGCGGCAAATCGATATTTATGGTATCTCTATTATGCGGTAGTATAAAAACGAATTGTTTACCATCCTTTAAAGCTTCGTTAATTAAGTTTTAAATCGTCGTAGCGTGAAAAATTTATAGACGTGAATTATATTAGATAAAGAATTTCAGAAATGTTAATTTTATTGAATCCATTTTATGGTATTTCTGTGGAATAAAATAATTTGATACGAATAATTTAATTTTTAGGATCAAATAACAGAAAATAAGGTAATCCTGTAGTTTATGTTAGTTAATATTGAGTATATACTGTATATGTATAAATTGCACGATTACTGAAAATAAATATGTATAAGTATATATTTATCTATGTAAGAAGCATAAAAATAACTTATAATTTAGAATATGTAAATTATAAGTTCTTCAAAATGTTAGTTCTAAATACAAAATAAATTCAGTAATTACCTTTTCAAATTCATTTAACTCCTATATTCTCCTTATTGATTATGTTATTATTCATATAACATAATCAATAAGGAGAATACATTTTTAATAATTCCATTATTAAAATGTATATTTTTAATAATGGAATTATTAAAAATGTATTGCTGTCCGAGACATTATATGGAATAGCGACTATAAAATATATTACGATGGGTCAGGAGGAAACACAGTCAGTCACCACCTGAAGCAGACCTCAGTGGTGGTCAAAAGCATTTGTGGAGTTTACTACGGACATAACACTTGTAAAAAAAAGTTTCCGTGGANTAAATAAATTTCAATAAATTATCTGTATCCAACTAAGTTATTTAACAGAGTATATTGATTTTTAATGTAGAGAATAAAATATGTATATTGTCTTGCTTTGTATTTTGTGTGATATAATGTTTGTCAGGTTAGAGATTAGAGTTTATTTTAAGGAAATTTCAGACAGGAATTGATTTTACAGATTACCATTTTGGCCTTTTTTTTTTTTTTTTTTTCTTCTATTCCTGCCACGGTTGATAAAATTTGGCATATTTGAGGTAAGAACCAAGGAGGGTTCTACCTGAAAATTTTACAGCGGAAGAATTTGAAGTTTGCCAACTTTTGTAGATTAGAGCCAAATTTTTACACCAAAAGTTTGTCTCTAGGCCCCTGCTGCTCATCAAATGGCAAATTCTCTGTTAACAGAAAGATGATTGTCCAAATCACAGGTTAAACTGAAAAAAATTCGTATAGAACCCTCTGATTCTCATCTCATGATATTAAGATTATTCTAAATCTTCCCAAAACTGATTATATACTATCAAATAACACCAACAAAACATTTTGATGGTGTTGTTTAATTAAGATTATTTAATTGTGTTTTTTTTCTTTTTCATTACTTTAGTGATTTTGTTTATTATTTATCGGCACCAAGAATACGTCAGAGCAACGTGAAATGTGCTTTTAAAACTTCGGTTGTTAACGATCGTTCGGAACCAACTGCATTAGTTACCATCGGTAAGTATTTTACAGTAAATATAAAATATGCTCTATCAAATGTTTTCTCTGGTGTAAATTAGTAATGAATGAATTGAATAATTTATATTTTGATTTAGTTATTATTTAAGTTTAATTTGATATTTAGTGTTTAATTTAAAAGCATGTGTAGAGAATATAAAGTTTATCTATTCACAAAAATTTGTTTATTCAGACTTCATATTTTCACAGTTATCATTACCCAGGTGAATATGGAAGTTGTTTGGTTGTTAATATAATCTATAATATAATCGAGACGGGTTGATGATAATAATAATAATAAGTGCAGAGCCCAAACAGTTAGGAGTTGGAAGCTGAAATTTGGTACACAGTTAGGGTACGTCACGAAAATGCACACTAAGAAGGGATTTTTCGAAATGCCCCCCTGGGGGGAGAGGGACAGGATTAAGCTTAACACTGTTAAGTAACAATGGAAGTTTTAAGTAACAATAAAAGTTTTAACTAACAATGGAATTGTTAAGAAAAAGCGATGTTTTAAGAGAAAGTGCAGTTGGTTTTCATTTTTGCAGGAAATTGAAGATATTTTTAGACCCATGTAAAAATTCTTTAATTAGTCTGGAAACAGGGGATCCAATTTTTGCATTCTGTGAAAACGGGTAAGGTTGACTATAACGTAATAATCTTAATCTTCGCTATCGTTACTTTTGCCCGAGCAACGCCGGGCCCACCTGCTAGTATTATTATAAACAATTTTAAATTTTAATTTGTTATTGGCATTTATTTAAAAATTTGCATTCTTTATTATTCAGATGTTTTCGTTTTTTTAGAATTCTGATTAGTTAAATAGATGTACATTAAATATATCATGAAAAAATATTAATAATGAGATGAGTATTTGAATCAGGATTTCATCTCATCAATATTGGTCAATTCTATTACAATTCAGTCCATCTATAATATAATAGAAATAATAACAAACCTGTAACCATTATATATGCAGTAACTAACATTTATTAAACTAATGTTTTCAGTCTTTTTGATTGACCATCTTCAGTAAAATATAGTTTAAAATTTCACAAAAAGAACAAAACTGTCCATATTCCAAAATGGTTTTTATAAGCTTCTATTTTTGGAATATATGAATTTTAAAAAATGTGTATGTCGGTTATTTTTATGTATTATACAATATCGCATATGTTGCAAAATCAATAGACATCTAAAACATAAATTATTCATAGTGAAATAACGTATGCATAGAACTTTCCAAATTTCACTTTTCATATTTATACTCTCACACTTTCATCCACTTACATTGTTTGCCTTTAGATTTTATTTATCAATACTTTCCAGGCTGGTGAAAGCATGATGTTTTCTCTAGAATTTACTGCCTGCCCCTCTCTGTAACCAGTTGCTCTTTTTAGATGTTATTTTTGTTTGATCCTCTCCTTTAGTGATCTAGTAGTGGCTCCTATCTAGCATATGTTACTATACCTTCTACTGTCTTTTATTGATATTCTGTACACATCTGGAATGCATGTTGGGTCATGGTCTCTTTGTCATTCCTTAGCATCCCATATACCATGGGATTTCTTTTAAATGTGATTTTTCTTGTTAGTTTCAACCCCAATTTACATGGCTTTTCTCTGAAGACAATTCAGAGAGTTGCCATCTGTATTCCAAAATGGGGGTATACCATTTTGGAATACGGATGGCTTTGTTCATTTTGTGAAATTTTAAATTTTATGTATTTTCCTGAAGATGGTCAATCAAAAGGACCGAAAATATTAGATTAATAAATGTTAGTTACTACATATTTAATGGTTATGGGTTTGTTATTATGATAGTACAGTTACTGAAAGATATTATTTCTATTAATCCTTAATAAGTTTTCTTAATTTTTTTCTATTATATGAAATTTGAAATTTTGCATTTATATCATTAAGATTAAAATATCTCTTGAAGAAATCTAAACAAAACAATATGACAAATAAATATTTTTGAGAATGAATCTGGTAAGGGGTTTTTTTTTTAACTCTTTCCACTCTGTGGGCACTAAGAGGGCCTCTTTTCGCAAGCCCATTATGGGTTTGGCCAGGCCCACAATGGTGTGGTCGGGTGGTGAGGGATGGGCCCGACATATCCGGATGGACTACTACTCAAAAAATTCCTGGGGATTTATTGACCTGTCTGGATTCGAACCTGGATCCCCAGAGCGGTAGGCTGTCACCTTGACCTCTCAGCCATCCAGCCAAGTATCTGGTAAGGGTCCCGACATGGTCCTCATAATTTTCAATAGTACTGTTTGTGTGGATAGGCTATGGTATAAACCTTTGTTAAGCAAAGGGATCATGGCCCCCACATGGTAGTGACTGACCGGACCCTATTCAGGGGGCCTGGGTTCAAGGGGACCTATATAAAGATGGCCAGCTTGTATTTTTTGCTTTGCTTGGATTTTCTTGTGGAATATTGAGTTCTTGACATAGTTTAATTAATATTCTAAGCTACTATTATTAACTTAGAAAGGTAATTTTTATGATTGTTATATAAGCTGAAAAAACTTTTATCAGAATTTTTCTGTTTACAATTATGGCAATTTGCTTTGGCAAAAGTCAGAAAATTTACTGAAAAAAATTTAATTGATAGTTTCTTGGGTTTGTTTTGCAATTTCTGTCATTCTTTCAGTTCTCGTGTTGGTTCTTATTTTTTGTTTTTAATGTTGTGTTTATCATTGTAAAATTTGTCAGTGTAATTCCTTTATTGTCTTTAATAAATCTAATCTATGTTTTTGTAAATGTGTGCTTAATTTATGAATGAAAATAATCTCAAAGTTAAATGACAAAAAATATTATAAGGCCTTATCATAATCCCAAAGCGGCCACAGGGGCCGAGTGGTTAAGTCCCTTGCATCACTAAGGTCTTGGGTTCAAGTGGGAGAAGGGTGGCTTGCCAACGATCCTGGTCTGAGGGCCCTGCTGCAGGCCATGAAAGGAAGAAAACACACTTATCAAACATTTTCAAGAAAATTAGAGTTAAGTAAGTTGCTTTGGATTTTTTAAGTTCTATGGAACTTTTCATTGAAGACCATGTTCAGCAACAGTATACCTGACTGATAATTGAGATTGCTGATTTATATTGGCGAATGAATTTTTTCAAATCAATGCAATTATTACATAAAATAATTGCAAATTATATGGGTTTATACACACAATTTGCAATTTTGATTAAAAAATTAAGATAAAGTAAGCAATGTCTTTATTTATGATTGACTTTTTTACATATTCCACTAAACATATGACCTTCATCTTGTGTTCACTCTATTGTTTCATTTGAATGTATCTCAAAGGTCCTTTTTTTTTTTTTATCATTTCTCAAAATTTAAATAATTTTGATGATTTTTTTTTATTTCTTAATTTTTCTTTTTTAAATTAAAATGTTAAAACAATAATTTTTGATTTTATGTAATTGTTGTCTTGTTTTTATATTTGTTAATTTTTAGGCAGTAGATATCAACTGTCCTTCAGAACTTTTCTACTTATAAAAATTAATATAATAAAATTTTGGAATGCATACTGTAGTTATAATAAAACTGTGTTTGCCTGATTCTGTGCAATTACGTCTCCATAGAGCCAAAACTTACTTGTTAGTGCTCATATATCCAAATTGTAATATAAAAGGATAAAAAGCAAATCACCAATAATAAAATTTTATTGGATGTGTAATTTTATTTGTAATTGACTTGATTATGCACTTTCTACATTTTTTATGACTGCAAATTGCTTTTGTTATCTATTCTCACATATCTTGCTACCTAAAAATATGTGACATAATAGATATAACATTTGATTGTAGACAGAAGTAAAGTATATATGCATTTCAACCTACAAATTTTAGAGTAGGTTACTGGAACTTTTAACATGCATATATTGTGATTTTAAATACACCAAAATCCAACCCTTAGTTATAATTAATAATTTTTTTCAATTTATTTAATTACTTAAAATATCAAATAATTCATAATATAAACTTCTACATTCAAAGAACATCGGGATGAAATCAACACATTGAACCCGTTACCGGTGTGGGTGATATGACGGATAAATATCGCAAACGTTCGAAAACGTTTGCGAAACATAATGTTCTTCCTCAGAGAGACATGGATTCAATTCTATTTTAAATATTCATAATATTCTTACACTTCCAAATGTAAACAATTTTAAATTAGAAAAACAATACCCAAATACTGATTAATATTAATCCAAGAGCCACTACTTCACAAAACCAATAAACCAGCAATAAAAAAAAAAAGTGAATAGCACAATCTCCAATCTATGGAAAATATTCCACAGAAGCACATTTCATGCAGGTTGCTACATACAAACATTCCACCAATCATAAACTAGTCATTGATGTTTGGAGGAGGATAGATTTTAAAGTTTATGATCTGTTCCAATAATGAATGATTGAATTTTAAACACCAACCTGAGTATGTCTTTTTAAAAATGCACAAAAACATTTGCTTCTCAAAGTGAGTAGTTCTTTGTATTGCTAGTTCATTGGTTTTGTGAAATAGTGTATCTCGAATTTTAAATTAATTTTTAACAGACATCAATTCTTAAAAAAAAATTTTCAAAGAGAAAGTGTACATTTTTTATAGAAAATAAATAGACAAAATTTTTGATACACTCAAAAAATGAAGGAAAACCTAATCCAGCAGTTCCCAACTTATCAAATAATTTTTTACTGATATTCCTGCTGGTATGCTATACCATTGCGCTACAACACACTACACTATGTTGGGACATTAATTATAGGATATATATTAGAGGTCATAAGAGGACTCAATCCAAGACTAGGATAATTACACCTCATCCCAAATCTGCATTGGCACATTCATACATCACTAGACTCAACAGATTTTATTGTGGAACCCCAAATTTTACTGGCAGAACTGTTCCTAAGGTTCTGTGAAACATAAGTTGGAAACTCCTGACCTAATCTAATCCTAACAAAGTAGGATTTTGAGTATACAGTAGATTGCATAATTTATTAAAAGATAGAGCTCACGATAAAACTTTATCAATTTTATCCAAAATGGAAAGTGCCATAGTCCAAATGGGGTAATCTATAATCAATACAAGACTGAAAATTAGTAAAAAAAAAAGTACTCTTAATGTACTTTTAGACAAGATATAGAATGCTGGTGTTCTTGTAAATCTGTCTAATAACCAGATTTAACTATTTTATCAACATGATTTTTAAAAGTAAGTTCATTATCAAAAATTATTTTTAGATCATTGAATGATGTTAACATGATAGGAGTGGAGCCAATATAAAAAGTAGGTAGGGGAGCAGCGTTGCCATTCCTAGTACATTTGTACTTTTCGGGTACATTTTGCCCTTTCCAGTAAATTGAAAGTACACTTAGATTTTTAGTACATTTTGAGTACATTATAATATTTCATGCCTTAACGAAAAAGTGAGATAAAATTAGTTTAATAAAGTCTCACTAGTGTCACTGCTTACTAATTTAAATTATCCAATCACAACATACAAATGGTGTATGTCCGTTGACATCAACAACATAGATAGTTGCACATATAAATGTCTTGACTCAGTGGTCTTCTTTCACACGTTCAGTCCTCTGCATGTTCTCATCAGGACCTTGACAAAATTTTTCGTGCCACGTGGTCCAAACAATTCAACTCCGTCAAACAAAAATAATGGACCGGTAAGCAAATCAATGATTTTTAAACTTTTGTCATCAATAATATCAAAATATCCGTTAAGTCAGAGGCAAATTATTACAGAAATTAGTTTTGAAATTGTACGAGTATAAATAATATAAATACTTTTATATTATTTTCTACCACTATAATTTAATTCTTAAATTATGAACTTCAATTTTAGTAATCGTAGTAAAAGAAATAAGGGTTAATGTTACGTATGGTTCCAAAATGGCCACGCTTCCGCCTGTTCCAAGGTCTATATAAGAAGATCAGGACACACATGATCTACTTCTTGAGCCGCCATTTTGGGGGTTTTCGAGTCACATGTTTTAAGCAAACTTGTATGAGCAGTCAGTTTTATACGACATTAATTAAACTAAAATTGCATAAAT